GACCAGACACAAGACCAGTCACGAGACCAGACACGAGACCAGTCACAAGACCAGTCACAAGACCAGTCACAAGACCAGTCACAAGACCAGACACAAGACCAGTCACAAGACCAGTCACAAGACCAGTCACAAGACCAGTCACAAGACCAGTCACAAGTAACAGGGTGAACAATGACAAAAGGAATGCTTTTGCTGCAGGTCATTTGAGTAGCTTGTGACTGGATTTCAGACTGGAGGTCTTGTGTTGGTCTTGTGTGGTCTTGTGAAGGTCTTAAGTGGTCTCGACTAAATTGAGTGTGTGACTATAAGGTAGGTTGGACACTTACATGTACTTCTTAAAATGGCCCAAAACTGATTAAGGTGAAGGCCGTGCAAGTAAGTTCGGTCAACAAACAAAAAAATGAATCAAACCAAATAGTTTTTTAGAACTAATTACTACAAATTAAGTAGGACACATTACATAAATATATCTGTGTCTTTATTAATGCTTACAAATACCCCCCCCCTCCCAAAAAAAATCATGTGGAATACCGGGGCAACATCAAAAAGTGACTGGGACCAGTCACCAAATGAAAAATACGTATCTGTTGATTATTTTAATACCCTTGTCTGAATCACTTGGCTACGGCTGGCCATGAACACACACGCCTTTGACAGCCACAAGCTAAGGGCTTCATGCATCTTGCATACACATTTATTACTGTCAGACGGTGCCACGTAATTTAAACTTGGCTGATGACAAGCTTAAAGCAAACAGTCTGGTGCCTCTGATGCGGAGACCAAAAATGGCCAGCTTTCATGTTTGGCAGCCACAGGAACCAGATACAGAAAAAACTCTGTGCAGAAGTAAATGGAGAATGCACTTCGTTCTTTTTCATTAAACTAAGTTTCTGCCCGCTAAGAGTGAATATAATGCTAATCATGCAAGGGGGGAAACAGTTCTAAAATTCACAAAACCTGGTGCATTTTATTTATTGGTGCTGAAAGAGGCAAATGATATTCGAATTTCGAGGGAACAGCACAGAAGAAAAAACTGACATCATACCGAAAGCCTCCGCTTGTACAAATGTCCATCACACAACGTAGGAGGCCCTCATTATCCGCAATGAATTATTGCCCGAGGTTCCCAATGGCATAATGGGAAACTGACACAATTAATAGAAACAGCGACCTCTGTTGACAAGTGGTGAAAAACTGTTAACATGGCAACAAGAACTTTATCCAAGAAGAAAATGCAAGATTCAAACCACCTCCTCCAAATTAAATTGGCGCATATAATTTCTTCTTTCAGAGACTTAAAAGGTCATTGGTAACTTCAATGATGGTCATGCTGGCAACCTCTGAAACTTGGGGGAAGAAAAATTAACTTGAGAAGTGTGAATAATCCCTGACTTCAGCCATTCAATTCCAACTCCTGCAATTCCTGAATGATGACTGCTTCTCCTTCGATCTTTGAGAGTTGATTGGCCTCCAGCGTTTTCCCCTCTGCTTTCTGCTCCTTCAGTTTCTCAATCGCCTTCAATTTCTGGATGGGCAAAAAAAATACAAGAACAAGTGAACTATCCGAATTCCTGACAAGCGATTCTTCAGCTGGGATTGATAGTAAGATTTCACTTTTCATTTAATCATGGCTCATCTCAAATTGTTTCCCAGCAATCACGATGTCAAATTCTAACAGACAGTTAAGGTCGTCAATAATGTAACATTGATGAGTTGGCACCAACTACTGGCAGTAAACGCAAATGTACTCCTTAATGATGCTACTGTACAATTCTAATACATTTTTTCCCAAACGGAGCTGTCGTAACCTTGTTGCCTGATCCCGATCTTTCTTGACCTTACCAGACTGTTGCTAAATGTTCACAACTTTACTGACCTCTCCGATGCTGCAATATAATTTCTAAGTGTGTGTGACCTTTCTGACCCCTTTGACCTAATTACTGACCTTGCGGAGATTTTTGATCTTCTTGTCGATTTCGGTAGGGATTGTGGCATCCTGCAGTGAGGGTGGGGTGACTGGGGTGTTCTGGGCTGGCCCCAGGACGTAAGAGGCCATGGCCAAGGCGTCTCGCTGCTCAGCTGAACGAGGATCCTGAAAACCAATCCCAGATATTAGTGAGTTATAGAACCAAGATGAATACAAAGCCATCCCATTACCAAGTTTGACAAATAGATGGCCTGTAAGCAGGCTGACAGAAAACACTAGCCAACCAGTCGGCCAGCCAACCAAAAAAACCAGCCACTAACTGACCAGCCAACAGCCAGCAGGCATGCACTTGGACTTTGCCAAAATACGAGGAAATTTCAATCTTTACAAGTCTTTGTACAGCGGTCTTCAATTTTCCATGGCACGAGTGTGAAGTGACAAAAGAGGAAATCAGCTGATCCGAGGAAAAGTTGCACGCTTGAGTCATCCAACCAGCCATCTAGCCACCTAACCGGCCAGCAGTACAGGGAGCCAGCTAGCCATTTTGCCTTCGAAACAACAAAGGCCAACTATTTACAAGCCACCTGGCCAGTTACAGAGGAACGCCAGCATGCCAAAAAAAATGTTCCTCCAAGAAGCTTGTCTGTAAGCCGGCCGACAAGTGACCTTGCACTTTGCCAAAATGAATAGCTGGTAAACAAGCAAATGAAACAGACAAAAAAAAAACCCAGCCTGAAATCTACTCACAAGAGGTGATCCAACCAGCTCTTCCTTCTTGGCCTTTGCCTTGGCTTCTCGCTTCTTCTTGTTTTTCAGTGCATTCTTTGAGAGAGCCTTGTCTGCAACGATAAGGTGCAATAAAATTCATTTTGGACAAAATTTTGGTAAAAATACTCTATATGCATAATTTGAAGAGTGCTGTACGACAAACAAATGATTTATTTGAAGTGGCCTTACCTGACACGGCTTCGGGGGCTTCCTCTTCCTGTGTGCAAAACAAAACAGAAAGTTATCACTAGAATCTTTACAGATAGAGTACGCCAAATTCTGTAGCAATTTTAAGCTTTCATCAGAAGTCCTTCAGATCCACTAGGACATCTGCGGGGATTCTGCAAGATTTCTGCGAAGCACGGTAGACTCCGGCCCCCTTTACTTAGCAAGGGGTGAACGCACTGTTAAGGAAGAACAATAGAGGCTCACCCTGAACTTGACGGTGGAGGCACCGGTCGCATTGGGAGGTCTGTAGGGGGCTGGCTTGGGTTCAGCCTGGGTCGCCGCCACTTGGGGGCTGATGATGGGCTTTGCCGGGAAGGTTCCGGCAGGGAACGGCTGCCAGACAGCCTCCCACAGTTCCTTGTCCCTGGGGACGGAGAATTCGTTGAGTAACCGGCCGGAGTAGTGCCAAAACTTGTAGCTAAAGTAAAAAAAACCCAAAATTTCTAAGATTAACTGTTGAAAGCAGAGAGTGAGAGAAAGAGATTGGGACCTAGAGGTGATCCTCCAAGTGTTTCCCATCTAGCCTCTATTCATACTCTGAGGAGCTTAACCCGAGACACAGCAACAAACACAAATACAGACAGTGGCATACAGGATGACAGTCACCGGGGGGGGGGGGGGTAGCTCACGCACTGCCGATCCTGTGAGGAGGTGTACAGCTACCGCCTGGGCTTTCTTCAAACTACGTATGACAGATACAGCGACACAAATAGTGAAAAACGAGAATACACAGACACTCACATACAGGGCGACAGCCATCCACAGAGAGATAAATAGCTCACCCGTTGCCCACTCTAAGGCGTGGCGCGCAGGTGGCGGTCAGGAAGTGTTCTCCGTCCGGGCTCCACTCAAACTGCGTCGAGTCATCAGCCTGCATCCTACTCACCAATTTCAGGGAACCCCGCCCCCAGAATTCCTAAAGACAAATCGGAGAGAGGGGTAAACCTGTGGACTGGACGACAATCTTGTGATTCCGGTGGATAATTGTAAAAGATTTCGTCCAAAAGTAATAAGCAGACATTCATACAATTAAATATCAACTTCTCAAACTAAAGTCATAAACCCTCTTGATGTCCAATTGGGTTTTGGTTCTCAAATACTTTCGGAAGTGCTGTTTAAAATTGCCATTACCAGACATAAACATTCTCACCATTTTTCCTCTGAGGTTTCCAAAACCAGCCAAGCAAAGAAGTGGATTATATTAAGGAAGCAAACAGTACAAACTTGGAACACAATACGCCTAATGATGATTCACACATCATCTGAAAAAGGGTGCTCTTCTGAAGATGTTCCTCTTCATGATCATCTGAAAGATGTCAGTTTAGCCGTGAAAATACATGTATTGAGGTATTCACTTAGAAAACACTCGGAGATTTTCAGACCAGTCTCATAGGGTGTCAAGCAGCATCCTTGTAGGGGATTCGTCCCTTTGAGGAAATTTTTTTGGCTCCTTAAGTTTAAATGCAAGCTTGGCAGGTGGTTGCCGAGAAACTAGTCAGTCGGGACAGAAGAACGATGTTGATGAATTGGAAGGATATCGGTGCCTTGTGGGTTATAGTAGACACAGTTCCGTGGCCCCGTGCCAAAGTCGTAAATGGGCTCGCACTTCAGGTTGAAGAGCGTGGCCTTGGCGGGGCTGACTGGAGTGGAATGGGTCAAGGAAATATCAAAAGGTTGATGTAAAACGTTCAGTTGTTAAAACACATCTGAGCTACCGTTCAAGAAGTCCCACCCACTGTTTTGTAGATTATAGATATGAGCTTGCTGTCACTTCTGAGAAAAACCATCAGATCTGCATGGCCTATTCTGTTAATTTTGACCTTGTGAATTAGCACTGACTAACTCCCAGTTTTGTGACTGTCAAGTAAACAAGTCCCGAAAAAAGGAACCTACAAATGAATTGAATTCAGAAAACGAAATTGAAGTAAATTTAAAACATATATTCTTGGTGGAAGACTAATTGTTAGTCTTAAAGACAGCAATTTATTGGTCTATGACTGCTCTAGAAATCATCGTCATCATCCTGTACTGTGCAGAAACTTCCCCAGAAGTATATTCTTGCATACCTGTTGAGGCGCAGACAAACAGGTGCAGAAAGAGCTTAACGCGCACATAAAAATGACAAATGTGTACAAGTCAAAACTACGGGTGCAGAACATTACAAGGATGGCACGGCTATCCCACATTGGCATTGTTCACTCTGGACATGAAAATATCCAGGGTCGGCAACTCGACAACTTGCTGGGGCAGTGTGTTCCACAGGCAGATGGTGTCTAGGAAGAAGGAGCTTGTCCATAAGATGTCATTTTTGTCGTGGAAAATGTCATTTTTCTATTCAAAGGATACAGCCGTATACAACACAAAAATCCATAGAGTTAGGGTTCCAGTCTATACTGTAAATGGGTCCTTTCTTGGCTGCAAATGAAAAAAAAGATATTTCCATCATTTGTGGCATTTCAAAATTCACAAACAGGAATGCCTATGCTAAAAACAAGGGATCCCTTGAGAGACTAATGTATGGACGCCAGTGCAGATGGACAGACCAACAAACAGTCTACTCACGTAGCGTCACGGCACACCCTTCTCCGTTGGTTTCTAGGAAGTGCAGCGACTGCTCTCCGTAATACGACTGGCCCGTTTTGTCCTCGTCGGTGCTCGCCATCGCCAGCAGGGCGGTTCCTGTCACAACGGACAACATTCCACAAGTTCCAGTGATTAAACAAAGTGGACCGGAATGTGACATTTTTAAAGTGTACGGCGCCGAGCGCTGTGAACGTTACCTTTCTTGTTCCACAGCATGTGAATGCTATCGGCCTTGAAGAAGCTTCGGCTGGCTAGGGCAGAGCCTTCGCCCCCGAGGTTGGGGTACCTGTACAGCCTCACGAAGGCTGGGGTCCCCTACAATGGCAGGAGAAATAACCAAAATGAATAAACTGCTGACATACCTAATCAAGACAACGAAGGAACACTCAAATTCTCACTTCTCCCCAAATAACACCTAAGGCTTTTTAAGGACTATATAGTGTAGGGTCAAAAACTCCAGCCTATTGGTAAACCCTGACGTGTTGAAAATGTTCCACCATGGTGTATCTACCTCACACTCTAAGGAATTGAAATCCAATGCCGTGCAATGTAAGTAATGACAAACAAACTATGTGGTTCAAGCAAGGGCAAGTGAAAACAACCTATTAATGAAATGAAAAATGAGAACCTTTAACAATTTAGCGACATTTCATTCTCCAAGCTGTAGAAATCTGACCCATGCGGAACTCACATTTCCAGGGTGGGAACCTCATAACTGTGAAGCCATAGATTGTGGAAAGCCTGAATTGACAAAAGACTGGTGTGTGTCATTAAGCCGCTTGTTACCTTTATGACAGGCACGTAGGCACCAACTGTGGGCGGAGCTTCCCCCTCTGACAAGACGCAGCCTTCCATTCTTGGGAGTGTCAGCCTCGCAGTTATATTTTCTAGATAAAAAGAGGAAGAACAAGGCAGGTTTGTTGAAAATTTCTCACAATCTTTTTTTAATCACTCTTTCAACACCTTCACGCTGAGTTATGAAGCTCACCAAAATCATGATCTCTGTAGAAGTGAACTCCACCGCTGGCAAAAACAGCACAGACTGATTCCTCCGATGTCCACTGTGGTCTCCTGTAAAATTCACCGTGAAAAGAGAAAATATTCAGTCAGTTAACACCGAGGGCGTGTAAACATGCTTCATTTTCTCGTAACCAGTGTGTTAACGCGGGTAGGCCTTCCCCGCCTTAATACTAGGGGACAATGTCTTTTGTTCAGGAAGTCAGAATCGCATTTTGGGACAAAGAATTGCCCTCACTGTCTGTATTTCAACCGTGTTTGGTCGCTATAACCTGGTAACATGTGCAGCCTGATGGTTGACTGTTTCGACTGTCAAATGTTTAACAAGTACCAGAGAGCTCGTTTCTTCTGAATGGTTGCCTTGACGCTCTTCCCTGTTTCTAGGTTCCATATATGCAAATTGTAGCTGGCTGCTGGGTTGTCTTTGATGGCTGAGGAAGCGAAAAATACAGAAACACTTACAGATCTAGAAAAATTCAATTTAGAGGAAACAACGTGACCACAAATCTTCTATGATTTATGCTAATCAGTAGAAAGAAAATTCCAAGCACCTTCAGACAAGACATCATTTGAACCGCCCCAAAATTTCAATTTGGTATTAAAATTGGTGATTAATATTCAACTTGAGACAGTGTTTCTCTCCGTCAGTTCTGCTTAAAACATCCATGGATCCACTACGTGGAACAGGTCAAGTTGGTGAGAGGGATATGTCATGTTCTTGAAGCTGGAATGGACACACCATGTGCATATCCACTGACGTTTTGAAAAGGAAAAAAAAACAATGCCGGTGGGTTGAGGAGAAAGGAGTAGATTGGACACGTCCCTTCTACTTCTTCTGACCAACCACAGGCCAGGGGCTGTGTACTGTTGGCATCGCGCGAATTTGTGGTGAGGCGTACCGTGGTACTGCTGCCAAGTGGCAAGGTAGGTCCCACGAGGGGAGAAGCCGAGCTGAGCTGTCCTGTTGGTTGGGATCTGCTGGACGACCACCCAGTCTGCGACTCTGATCACGGTGGTGCTGGTGGGAAAACAAACGTGGAGGTAATGTGATTACCCAGGTCAAGGGTCAAGTTGTGGGCAACTCTGACAGAGCTTTAAGGACCTTGACCTAGCAACGGGCATTGCTGACGCATTTTGGGCTAAAAATAAGCTAAACTAATTTCTCTCCTTTCAAAACAGATTTAACCATAACCCTCTCTTCGACCCCTATAAGGAGGTCTACGATTTACAAGCAGGATAGGGCTTTATCCTCAATGGAAGTTATCAAAGAATGTGCCACTGAGTTCCAGCACAGTGAACGAATCCAGACAGTGCCTTGATGACATATGTGCAGTGAGTTGGAATAGACCTTGCCAAATTCTGTGTCAAGGTTTGCAGGGACATAGAAGACCCAAAAAAAAAAAACCCCAAAGTGGAACAAAATTAGACAAAACTGTACTTCACCTCTGACCATTACACCACGCAAACAGCGTGCCATCGGGGCTGTACGCCATGACCCTGCAGGCAACACTGCTGTCCCTGGAAAAAATGCGGAGAGAAAAATACAATCAGATGAAAAGGATGCTGGCAATTGGAGCTGCACTGCAACTTAAGTCTTCTTCCAACTCTTTTGAGCCGGGTTCGAATCCCACTCTGCCCGCATGCAGGTTCTGATTCAAATGAGATGCAATCCTCACTCTCAGGGCTCTCCTAGATTTGGGCTTTTCTCCCACCCAAGAACCCAGCGTTAACTTGTGGGAATGCACACAAAACGCTGTGCGACCAAGCCATCATAAACTTAAACCACGTCAAGCCTATTTTCTTCAGCAAGGGCAACTCCATAAACTCTAACATAAATGCTGCATCAGTGCAGACAGATAAAAATAAATGGCACCATCTTAAATAAACTCAGTTATACAAATCCTGTGTAAACGTACCTCACAATTCCCAAAAAAGTTTCATTATTTTGTATGCCTGTCAGCTAGATTCTTACACACATGACAGAGTACAATGTATTTTCACTGTTGAAATTAAGTCTCATAATATTTTGGTACTCTCCACAGATGCAAGTTCTCCTATACAGTTACCTGGGAAACTGGGCATTTTCTCTGAAATCAGGTGGACCGTGTACCATCCACAAGCCCTCTTTTCCACGAACTAATAATAAAAAAAATTAAGCAAAAATATTTGCCTTTTAACCTGTTCAATTAAAAATTTTAAAAAGTCACATCGTCATGGATCGTCTCGAATTAAACGTGTAATATCAAAACTTAATACTTCTTAGTTTCAATATTTCAATAAATGCTCATTTTCTCAGTGATTTTTTAAAATGAATTTATTGCGGTGTTCATTACCTTTAGCACCTTGTTCCTATAAAAATGAACAAAATCAACTTCCTCAAACTTACTAACATTTTGAACCTTAAGGAACCATTACTCAAACCTGATAGGCCTGGTTTTGGTAAATTTTGGCAATATTTAAGCAAGAAAACTACAAATTTCTAACCCAAGTTTGGCAAAAGATAACCAGTCAGTCGAATCACGCCATTTTATTTCTCGTCTGGTTACCCGACTCAGGCATTTTGGATTCATCAAAACAAATTTCCATCCAGGTCAAGGAACCAGACCACCATCGCTAGTTGTCCTCTTTCACAACTCTTCGGGGCGGTCATGTATGCTGCTGTATTTACCCCCAAATTTCCCTCAAAAACCAAAATCCCTGTTCCCTTTCCTTTCTGATATGAAAGTAGACATCACTAACAACTTGACTAGATAAGTTGTTTTGAAACCGAAGAATTTGTTCCCTTATTAGGCCTAGAGGAACAGGGTGGTAAATATAATGAACACCTTTATTATCATTTATTTGGCACTGACAATACAAAACATATATATAGAAGAGAACAAAACTACAAGGTCAAAGACATATAAAGAATGTAGCACATGCTACAATAAACTAAATAACCACAATAACTGTAGTGCAAAGTCAAAGGCCTTCCTTTCTAATGCCACAGACTATAAAATCCTTATAAAAATCAAATTAAAATAAAGGGCATAATTTTTTACACTTTTTACAAGAAATAAACTGCCCTCTCTTTTCATTGACAATGTACACAACTGACTGTTCCATTTGTAGGCCAGTAGGCATACTGCATTAGTCCATGCACATAGCAAGGAAGAGATGTAACATTGAACACGGTCTCTGCCTGAGAATCGCCTTTCTAACATTTGGAAAGTCATGATTGGGCTATCACCAAATGTTATAAAAGGCAATTCGTAGGGTCCATCTGTTTCCTTGCTTTGTGGAGCATGTTACTTGCGTGCCTTGCATGTCCAATCAAAGTAGGTCATACATGTGTGACACGTGTCAGCATGCCCATGCATGCACTAATAATCACCATGCACTGAGGCATGGCCTTTTTTGTTTGTGCCAATTTAATAAACTGTGGACACGAACATACGACTAGCAATGTAATAATGTAACGACCATGAACATGATCTGAGCCTAGGCCTAAAAAGAACACGGACATGACAGCAAAATCAAGCGATGAAACTCAGATAATCTCCCTAGTCTTGACTTCAGAGTATCAAGGAAACATTATTATGTTTTCGGTGATTGGAAAACAATTTGAATTCACTGCTTAACAAGAGATTAACTCTCTCAAAGAACTGTCAGTGTTAGAAATACACACGTGCGACTTGAGGCCTGGGAGCTGCCATCTTGAAATCTGTCATGACGTCACATCAAAGAGCTGTGATGTGGGTGGAGCTTAACTTTTTAGTGGGATGGGTAAATTGACAAACGGGAATTAACTAAGACTGAGATGCTGATTCGAGAAACGGGTGTAATGATAGTTGAGTTATGAGTGATATAAATGTACGGAGCTCATACAAGAGGGCAGCGGTGGACATTTTTAAAATTTTTCAATAAATTTAATATTCACATGTTATTATAAAAAGATTTTTCCGTTAAACAGGGGACTTGTAGAGGCGAGTCTGAAAATTAGTCGGGCTTCAAAATAAAGTTTCGTAATAAATACATGTACAGACGTTTGGGAATCATGGATTGGTAAACTAGACTGGACTTGTCTGTTGTTGGTGTTGTTTACGCATCACTATTAGTCTGTCGTTTTAATGAAGAAACTTATTAACTACTTCCTTTGATGAGATACATGACATTTTCACAAAAATTGGATCTAATAAGTGTTGGATTAGAGTTGCAAACAGTATATTACTTTAGAAAAGGCCAAAATGATCAGTTACACTTTAAATATGAATATTCATGTTAAATGAATAGGTCGAAAGTCGCGCGCGATGATCGAGATTTTGTGAGGTGAACGTCGAAAATGGCGTCGAGTAGCGCTAGCGGAGACGACAAGTCTCCGAGTAGGGATCGAGACACGGAAAGAATCCAACCCAGCCTGCGGTTGTCCGACTGCAAATGCCCGATCTGCATGTGCATCCTGATCGAGCCCGTGCGAATGCCTTGCAATCACGAGCTGTGCATGCCGTGTTTTCGCAAGAATGTTGAGGAGGCTAACTTCACCTGTCCGATGTGTCGACTGCGCATCAGTAACTGGGCCAGGCGGCGGGCCAGGGAGAATAACCTGGTGGATGAGCGGAGGTGGAAGCAAATCCAGAGGGCTTTCCCCGATCGCTGTCACCGGAGGATGGAGGGCGAAGAGGAAGAGGAGGAGGAAGAAGAAATTTTTGGTAATTGTGCAAAAAAAGAAAAAGAAAAAAAAGGCCTAGGCCCTAGTGGCATGCATGCCATAGGATGCCTTTGCCTAAACAACTTCAAAATTGTCATTTTCCCATCAGGGACATAATAGATAAATAGGCCCAGACCTAACTCTGACTTTGTTGAAAAATTGAATCATGGCAGAATAAAATACGTTGGTAGATTAGGAGAATTTATCATGTTTAATACACTCAATTGCAAATGGGAAAGATTAAGTTTGAAATTGAGATATAAGATCCCAAACAGATGAATTTGAATGACTGAAAACTGAGGTAGGAGATGACGAGATGCAGTGATTGAACTTTTTCAACTTTTCTTGCAGATTTTGTACCAGTGAAAAGGATTTGTGAACCAGGAGCTATCAAGCAAGAGTACCTTGAAGCAATAGAAAAGGTAAATTTCCCCCTCTCAAACATATTATCCAGCTTGTTGCCATAGTTACCGCATCCTAAGGGACAACTTTCCAATATTCCTCATTTCCCCCTCCCCCAGCTGAGATGTGAGCGCCAACAAATGGAAGAGGAAGAAATCAGGAAGAGCGAGGAATATATAGCCTGGCTGCAGAGGGAGGAGGTCCGACTGTATGAAGAGCAGCAGAATGAGTTGGCACGGCAACAGAAGCTGGATGAGGCACTGGCACGGAAAATGTCTCAGGGAGACAGCCCCATGCAGGTCAGCAGGGAATGATTGTTGTGTTTGTGTCCTTGAGCAAGACTGTTTACTGTAATCACTTTCTGCCTTCACGGAAGCCACTGTAGATTCTTTGTTGGCAGTGGTTGCAGTGCCGAAAACCTGTTACCAACAAAACGTTCAATGTATATTGCTGTCGTCACGTAACTATGTTGAACTCACTTCTCATTAATAAAGCACAGCTGAAATCTATGAAGTCCAAACCTTTGATGTATTGGCATTTCATTGATTTATAGGAAGAAATTAGGGCACAAATTTTACATGAGCAAGCTTTGAAGGACGAAGAGTTTGCCAGAAGACTTCAAGCGCAAATTTTAAAGGTGAGTTGCGCTCCGCTCAATTGTAGACCAAGGTGATTTCCAGATGATCTTGTTTGCAAAGATTATTTCGTAACAATGAAATGTTGGTCAAAACTAATGCTGAGTTAGAAGGGACACACGTTAAAAACCATGTGTTCTAGCTGTAAGCCATTTTGTCTGCGATGGGAACATTCCCGAAGGTTGGTATGTCGTATTTTCCTCTTACAGTCACCAGTCAATCCAGGTTTCTAATCTTGTCACGACTCTCATCTGATCATGTGATCTATCTTCATTTGTTTACAACATCTATTTTAGAGTCCTAATGCTGCATCAGCAACACCAAGCACCACCACCACTATCATCTCCAAGAGGACATCCCGCAACTCCTCTCGCAGCAGCAGCACTGGTGCCTCCTCTTCCATTAAGTGTCGCCGCATCGACACCTTCCTCTCCCCTAGTGTCAAGCAGACATCGCCCCAGTCCCGGACCTCGTCCCAGTCCCGAACCTCGTCCAAAGCTTCATCCACCAAGTTGGCACCTGGTGCCTCGTCCCCAGTCTCTTCCACCTCCAGCATGCGAGCCTCCAGCGAGTCCTCCGTCTCTAGCGTCGGTCTGGACTTTGACAAGCCCTCTACATCGAAAGGGGACACCACCGAGCAAGTCCTGATCGGCGACCCACCCTGGGGAGATCGCAGCTCCAGTGACTGCATCCTAGAGATCGTCTCTGACCCAGCCAGCCCGGCCATTTCCTACCCGAGCCCAAGCAGCGATTCAGGCAGCAGTAAAGGTTTTAAGGGCTGCTTGCTCAGTGCTGACTTCATATTGGATGCCAAGGAGGAGTCGAAAGAGGACGAAGGCGGAGATGAGAAAGGAAGCAAAAAAGAGAGTGCCTTTGAGAGTGTGGAGAAGAAGCCCTTTGAGGAAGCCACTAAATTTAAGAGCATGAGGAAGCGATCAGACAGCATAACCAGTACTGACAGCATCTCTCCGGAGCTGAACCATTTCAGGCCCATTGATGTCTCGCCCCGTACCTCGCACCGTAGGCTTGCCAACGGTAGGAAGGAATCGCCGAAAGTCGTCCACGCCATGCCTAGGAACCTCACTGCCCATCTCACGAAAGAGGAGCCTGGCCAGGATGTCAGTCTCCCACCCCTCGTCAAGGCCAAGTTCGAGAGCTTGATCAAAGAGAAGCGGAAGAAGTTGACCGAAACGTCCAAAGCGACGATGACTAGCAAAGCCGCTCTGGGTGGGACCAGCTCTCTGATGCGACAAGAGCTCAGCAAGCGGCTCCATCGCAAACCGGTGACACCCAGGCTCACCCTGTTTGCCCACAAGCAACATTCTAAGCCTGAAAAGTCCCCTCTCGCCGAGGACACGCCCCAAACACTGCAACAACAAACACTGACCAACCCAACCAGGAAAGCTGAGCCTTCAAATGAGGCAAACCCCTGTGCAAAACCGATCGGTGATGACTTGATGGACGATGACAATGATGTCATAATGATAGAAGTGGACGATGAAAGCACGCCATGTGTTGGTACAAAGAATCAGTTAAAACTGGCAAAACAGTTGAATGGGGTCACCAAAAACCACAGTAAACAAACTGAGGCAGCAAATAACAGGGTGAAACGGAAAAGTTGCAGCCCTGAAACACAGAGTAAACGACAGAGGCTGGAGCATGCAACATCTCAGGCTTCAAAAGATGTCAGTAGTAGTGGTGACTCTGGTAGCAGCCCAAACAGTGTGAAGAAGAGCCCCGGGAAGGTTTACCGTATGAGAGCAAACCAGCCTAAGCCACGGCAAAGCACCATCAAGCAGCTCTTTACCGGAAAAGAGAGCGAGGGGCCGGAACTGGACCATTCAGTCTCCCCGAAAAGACGGAAGCCGCTGACAGGAAGTGGTACCACTCCGCCCTTACCTTCCCTCATTCCCAGCCCCTTCTCCAGCAAAACCAAGGCGGACAAGAAGAAGGATGCTGCAGCCTCTCGCAAGAAGACAGTGGAGGAGAATTATCAGGAGAATGCCTCCAGGGCTGGAACCGACCGGCTCAAGGGCATCCCAACCCCAAACAAATCCGTCTTGATGGACACCACGCTCGGTTCCAATGGGGAGCAGAAACGAGAGCAGAACGGGACCGTGGAAGGGGTCAAATTAGGGCCTGGCAACTCTCCACACGGTAGGAAAGCCACAGCAAAATCGCCGCAAGAGATCACCGCAACAAAGGCCAAGGCGAAGACGAAGAACACGCCCCCGCTGTCTGGCGGCAGTCTGAACGTGCCAAGCCCGAGCGTGCACCAAAAGACGCCCTCCAAGACCAGACGCAACACCATCTGGAAGTACATGGAGCTGGTTGGCGAGGAGGAACGACGACTCAAACAGGAAGAGGAAGACCGCAAGTTGGCGCTGCAGCTGCAAGAGGAATTTGACCGGCAGGACCGCCGACAGGCCAACCAGGTGGACCGTTCCCAAGGCTCGGACGCTGCTTATGAGCTAAGGGGCACATTCCGTGGAGCCTCCAGAAAGGCCAAGGCAGTGTCTGAGGTAGACAGTGACGATGACATATTTGCGTGATGAATGTGACTTTGCTGGTGAACTGGTGAGTTCTTTTTCACAAAGAGTTGTCTTTTTTTGGTACCCGGCCTCATTTTAAAACTTTTTGGGTCATTCTTTGCATTTGGCGTCCTGTTTTTTCATGTTTATGTCTTATCTGACACCTGATGTTATAAGTTTAGAACATGTTCTTCAATCTATAAGAGTGATTAAGTACAAGTCACAAACTTTAAAGTCAATGTCAGTGTTATTGCCACATCAAACTACACAAGTCAGGTGTGAGGAGGCACAAAACCATCACATGTATGGATCCCAAGTTGAGAGAGTGACCCTTTTTCAAAAATTTTACTTGTAAAAAGTCTGGTTCCATTTTGCTGTTCAGTGACTGCAGAGACACTCTTGCATGGCTCCTAAATATTTCTAAACTTTCATCGTGTATAAAACCATATTTTTTGATGGACATGAAAATGTCCCAACTTGAATGCTATGGTTGAGTTTATATAGCTCTATTTGATGTAAATTTATATTTTTTTCCAAATTCATTTAATCACATGATTTTACAGAGATAAAGATCTATTGTAAATGCTGTACCTCTTTTTTTGTAGCATAAACTGTCTAAATTTCAGGTTTTTTTCCATTTTCATCTTTACAAATGCCAGATCTACTACCATTTTTACCAAAAACTTCTTTTAAATTGAGGACGCATCAGTCAAAGTTTCAAACCTTTTGAGTCGAGTTTCCTATTTTTCAAAGCATGAATAATTACAATCATTATTAGTGTTCATATATCAGGGGGATTATTTGGGGCAGTGTTGTATTCGAGTCCATCACAAGTCCAGTCACAAGTCCCTTCACAAGGCCAGTCACAAGTCCCTTCACAAGGCCAGTTATAAGGAACGGGGCGAACAGTGACAAAAGTATGCTTTTGTCACAGTTCATTTGAATAGCTTGTGAGTTGGCGTAAGACTGAATGACTTGTGATGGACTTACCGGGATTGTGATGGACTCGAATACAACTCTGGTTTGGGGGTACCCTGAACCCCCGACGATGGTGTTTGTAGGGAAAGAAAAGAAAAATTAGTTGCTTCCACTAAAACTTTCTCCCATGAATTCTTACAATACAGTCTGTATAAAATATGTCACAATATCTTAAAACTTCAACCAAGTGTTGCAAATGAAGTTCACTAATTACATCTTGCTACATATCATTCAGGTTATAATAACTTATGAACATCTTTCCATATGAAGAGGAAAGTGCTTTCAAATGACTCCATTCTGACTTGGACGCAAGCCTAGTTCATGGTGGTGTGACGATATAGCTTTTGTGAATATTCTATCCGCCCCAAGTTGCAGTGCACCCTCACGGGCGAAAGAAAGACAGACCGGTACCAAGTGTTTCAACCGGGTTCTTGCACGCATTCAGCGTGCGCGCGAAGACCATACATTCCAGAATAAATTTGTTGCGCGTACTCAGCGTGCTCCTCGTCAAACATGCATAACATTGCCTGTGCAATGAGCTGGTAGCAAAGGGCTGTCAATTTCAAATAAAAACACGCCCTCTTTTGTTCCCGCTTGGAGCAGAGAGAGGCAGAGTGCTTCTTTGTGTGCATGGTTAAATAAGGCTAGCTGTAAAAATGTAAATGTGGGTGTTATGTGGCTTCTGTGCTGAAAAATCTCTGCGATGCGATCATCCTGAATGTGGAGCATTGCATGTTATGCTTTGTATTCCGGATGACATAGTGAGCGAACATTTTTTTTGAGTATTTTAAAAAGGATGACTATGCAAGTGCAGAAGAACATCTAGGAACGAAGTGCAGCCAGTGCTGTTCAGTTTTGATATACTGGTATTTGTTTCAAAGGTTTTCAGACATCTTTCCTGTGACCCACCAGAAGTGCCTGTATTAAACTACATATAGATCTTGAACTAGATACAGTTGTTTAACAATATACCTCAACAATAATTCTTCCATAAAATTTGCTTTTTTACAGATTTTAAGCTATGTGTACAGTGTATAGCTAGACCAAAACATGGCTTTATCTTGTGTACAGTTTTTAATATAAAAGTATATTTGTGAAATAGATACCCAGTTGCCGGCCTGCAGACGTTCATGTTCTGTATGCATGGAAGTATGTTAACTTGTTCATATTGCCTCGGTAGGGGCAATGCATCCCCCCCCCAAATTATTTCATATCAAGGCCACTGGGTTTTCAACTTTGTCAGTGTGGTATCTCAATGTTGTACTTTTTGTAATACCAATTTGTTTTTACTGAAACCAAGTTCCCTCATTGTTGCTACCTATAATTTGCGCTTATAAAATATCGCCAATCAATCAACTTTCCACTTGTCCACGGTTACTGCCAACTTCACCCGTTTGTCACCTGCCACTTGGCCAGCTATCAGTGGTGACCAGCAGTTTGCCAGACAACAAATAGGGGCACTTTTGGTTGGCGAGTTGTCATGGCATGCTGATGTGACATGCATGAACATACAAGGTGTGGCTCACTGTCCGATTTTGTTAACTATCAGACGTTTATCCAAGTGACAACATGCCAATCAGAATCTGTCCTTTATAGTCACTTTTCACATACTGCGGTCCATCATAAACAAGCTGATGGAAGTTGTGTTTTTCTAAATGCAACAGATAGAGGTGAATTGTAGACGCAACTCAAAAAGACTCCTTTGAGATCTGAATTTGTTTTTATCAGTGATCCATGTGGTGTTTTATTGAAAATGGACCAAAAATACATAATTTTTTTGGCATAAAGCCTTTTTCTATAGGAATGGAGTCTGTAACATTTATGCCTTGTGCTAATCTACATGCACATCCATTTCTAAAAAGTCCTGTTTATCGTCGAAAGCTTGTACCCAGTTCACACAGAAATCTCAAAGAATGTGAAGGTTTCTGGCTCATTTTCTCACATCCATTGGAGGTTGTGTAAGTGCCAAGTCTTTAAGCGGGGTACACGTACGTGTTGTCATCAAATTCAACAAACTGACCACCTCCATAGCTCCACAGTACATGTACGTACTGATTACATATCACAGTGTTGACTGCAGTGCACCAGTGGAATAGAATGGGGAGGGGGGGTCACTGGTGTATACCCTATTGTCATTAGGTAATGATTCAAATTATATCTGTTTCAAAAAAGCAATCATTTGGTGTAATCATCGTGTTGAATCTTCCATGAAAATTATCCTCCATAACTGGAAACGATGAGATCGTGCCTTTCGCTGTGTGTTCACGCGTATCTTGAAAGTATGCTATGTCTCCTACTCGTGGCATATGACGACCCCCACTGCAGTAAACACAGTGATACATCAACAGTTCATAGGGCTTATTAAGTCAGACTGAGTGTCACAAAGTTACATGATCTTGTTTCCTTAAGATCAACAGAGGGCGCCATGTCTCTGGCACACTGCAGATTTGGTAGTTTCACAAAAGCAAATGATTGTTTACAGTTGTTTTCTTTTTGTTTTAATTTTTTTCCTCATTTTGTTTCACATGTTCATAATACATTGTCAGTGTAGTTCATGGTTACAGTATGTCATGTACACGTATGTGAAACACGCCAATCAGTTTAATATCTATGTAATATAAATGGCATCACTCCGTAACTTTTAGCTCATCTTTGAAGTCAATATTTGTGTTGCCTGGAAAACTGTAAATGAAATGGAAATATGTGAATAATTAAACAAAAAAGAAAGAGAAAGTCTAATATTTTCATATGACTGATTTATGCAGGTAGATGACGGGACTGGATTTCTGGAGTTTGTACTTTGTATCTGGGCTGCAGGTAGAAAGAATTGTTGAATTGCAGCAGGAAAACACGAGATGAAATTGGTTCTTATTGATTTTAAAACAAGTCTTGGCCAACAGCTTTGTTCCTGGCCTCCAGTAGAATGAGCACAGTATATATTCCTTGAGAGAATAAGTTTAATTTTTTCTTTCTTGAGTTAAAAACTACATTTGTTTTGCTCACTGCCCAAACCAGGGTCATTTCTTTTTTATCAGAAAGCATAAATTATCCATTTATTTATCGTTTTCAAATATTTGACTTGAGAAGTCAAATCAATTTGAGTTCAACACTGTGTGGCTGGAAGCGTTTAATTATCTTAACCCCGACGTTACTGGTTTGTTGTCATCTACAAGGAAGAATAAAAATAGCAAGATTTTAAAGACACCAAATGTTTTGTTTGTTTTATTGTATTTGATGGATAAACCTGAGGCTATCGCTCTGTACTCAGAGAAGACACCAACATCACCCCCCCTCCCATATAAACCTCTGGGTAAACTTTTTTCAATATGCCCTGTGCTCAGTTGGCTGAGGGCGCTGCAGGTACAACCTTAACCAACTGGAGGCAAGTTCAAGCGATGAATATTGTTATTGTCTGAATGACACCGCCTGAACGATGGATGGTTTGGACTATCTAGTCGACCATCTGGGACCAGGCTCGGGGGTATGATCGCACAACTGGTTACCCAAGAACGGATTTCATTTATAATTAAAGAGGGAACCATTCACAAGCAAAAAACTGTACAAGAATTCTTTGACCATGTACGCTGCAAGAATTGCAGCCAACTGTGAAATGCGAGAAATTAGAAATTAAAAAAAAAAATTGACCAACTAGGGTTGTTTGAGTGTGTCCAAACTGCGCATGTGCATTGTTAAGGCACTCGACTACTAAACTATACTTTGCGCCCAAACTTGCCCTAGGTGATTATCACTGGTGCCCGCACACCAATCAGTACTTCAACCACACTCCAGGACCGATGGATACCTGGGAAGTGCTTCCAATAGCAACCCTACACCCTCACGCAGGAGCAAAAATGTATCTTAAAATTCTAATCTTGATCAGGCAGCGAGTCCACAAAACTTGCCAGCATAACATCTACTTTGCCTTTGCTCTCACTTCCACCTGAATTATCCTGTAAACAAAGAAAAAGTTATACTCGCATTACGTTAAGAGGTACCAGACTTGTTCAAACCTCCAGGTTTTATCAAGAACTTGTGTATACGGCAATAATCGAGACGTACATGTACCTTGTCTTTACTGCCGTCGTCTGACCTCTCCTCATCTTTGTCTTCGCCTTTCCGCCTCTTCACACTTCCGAGGACGGCACTCCCAGATCTGAAGACTTCATCCTCCGTTTCGCTCCTGTCTTCCTTTTGCGCTCGAGTCCGTTGCCTTTTGGACCTTCTTGATGGGGAGGTCGTCCTATCTTCAGATGCCTTTGATGGATCAGCTACGTCCGTACTACCCATGCTGGTGAGGATGACATCAGAGACACTGTTGGTCTCAACTGGAAGGGCTGGGGATGCATTCTCCTGTGCATCTTCAGTGTCCAACGCCTCTTGAGATACAGTTGATTGTTCCTGACTCTCTGGGATGACCTCCTGTTGTTCCTGATCATCACCATTTTTCTGACAATTATCCTCCATTCTGGAATCATCCTCTTCGATTCCTTGATCATCGCTATCCTCATCAGATGAATCCTCGCTCTTCTCTTTGTTGCTCGGCTCAACTTCCGTTGTTGCTGCCAAAACCGCAGGCTGGGTGATCTCTACAGATCCAGCTGTCGTGTCTCTGCTACGCCACACAATTCCCCCTGTATTTTGGTCCATCGAGGCCGGTCCAAAATTTGGGTCAGAGATCTCCATCCGGTCCACCTCAGAGCTTGCCTGTGGTTTGGACAGCACCTGTGATGGCACCCTCTTAGGGTCAAGTTGGGCAATGCGGAATGGTTGCTGGAGGCATGGAACCCTGGGATGGATGATACTTTGGCAAATGATTGAAGCTTCAGCACAAAAGCTGGATACCTGCAGTAACGTCACATATGAAAACAATTTCTTAAAACAAATTATATATTGCAAAAGTATGTGACAAGTACATTAGTCACATACATGCATAATATATTCACTGTGATGGGTACAATAACTTCAAGTTATCAGACAGGCAACCCACAAAAAGCACTGTTTCTGTTGTATGGAAATTCTTCTGGGAACAAGACTGCTTTTCCTTTACTGCCAAAGCCCACTTATAGCTTCCAAAGAAATTTTACCTCAGTGTCGATAAAACTTAAGAGCAAAACATACATTGATACTGGCATCTTGCCTCCCACGACTGAACAAACCAGCTGTGCACTGCAAGGGGGCTGGCCATCTTGGGTGAGGTGCGGTCACTGACGACAGTAGCACATGATACAAAGCCCTACGGCAGTCGGCGTTGGAGTAAGGTGCCGGGATCAGGATTGGGGGAAGCTGCTGGAGGTGGAGCAAGAGTGGGATGACAAACTCGTGGACATCCTTCAATGACCAAAAAAAAGACAAAGGTGAAAATTCTTTGACGTTTTTTCGTCAACAGGATTGAAAACTGCCCCCAACAGAGATGGACACCGCCACAAACAGTAGCTTTGAAATAGTGTTTAAAAATTTTATTTTGTGTCAGGAACTGGATCAGAACTGGCCAGCTGTCCCAAGCTAGCTTGGCACTGAAGTATCTCAGATGTCTGCCCTGACATTAGACAGGTCATGGGTTCGAGTCCAATGAGAGTATCATTGCTTTTATAATGCTCATGTTTGATTCATAAACTTGTGTGTTATGACAAACCTTGTGAAAATTGGGCTTGACTCTTGTTCCGATGCTCGTCAGAAGGCACCTCAGGACTGAAGGAAGAGCCAAAACGTCCTCAGTAAATGTGGCAAGAAATCTTATGTTCTAAAACAGAGTTCCTTCCAAAAATCCAGATCAAACAACTCTCAAAAGTTTCCTTTTTATGAACAAAATTATTCTCAAAATGTTATCTCCCAAACTTTCTGATATTCTGGATTAAAATCCATTTTGGGGATACAATGAGGTCATTATATGATTACTTCCAGACTGTTTGTAAATATTTTTGGAACCTTTCAGAGCGGCTAGGCAGACCCGACTGCTTGATGGGGGTGATGTTTTCTGCTGGCTGGCTAGGCTTGTGGTGGTAGTCTCTCCTCCAGCCGTCTCTCCCTTCTGTTTGCTCTTTCCAGACTTCTTGGCATTCATTGATGTAGGTTTTTCAGTGGTTACCCTCAACTGTTTGAAATAGCAACAAGACAAGCAAGAAACTACTTAGAACATTCAAAATCACACAATCACATGCTACCACTTTGTTTTCTGCAACTGAAATATGAAATCCAGCTGCAATGAATGAAAAATTAATTTCAATAATATACAGAACTCAAACTTTATTCTTAATTAAAAAATCTTAAAAAACAGTTTAATGTGAAGTTGTCAGGAGAAAAATGAATTAATGTATCAGGTCTAAAGACAAAATACTATTCATGCAATTTCTTCTCTATGAAAGTTTCAGTACCTTGGTCATTTGAGCCTGGGGGCGTGCATCGTTCAATATTGCCTCCAGTAATTTGTCAGCGCCCGTCTCTATTCCGGAACAAGACCCGCTCGTCTCCAACCAGATTTCGAGAGCGCCGTAGACAGACAGCTTCAGTCCACTTTAGATAAACAATGATCTGATTTGCTGCAGTGAGGGTGTACTTGTGGTGATGCCAATTCTGTTAAAGTTATTTCTCAATTCCAACAGTCCAAACTACTGGTTTTCAACAGGTTTTCATTCAGCACTGCTCCTATTGCACACTCATGTTCAAGTTAGCTCCTCTCGGGCAAACACTGTAAGAAAGAACTACTTGAATGAATTTGTGCGCATTCCACTGAAAATTGGTCTTGCTCGTAACATGCACAATCCAGCACGCTCACGTAATGTGGCCCTTCTTGGCTATCAAGAACAAAGCCCCACTGCATACTCCAAAGTTATCTTCACGAAACCAGTCTCTTTACCTGAGTACCCTGTACTTGGCATCATCTGATTGGACGCTTGGCCTGAAGGCATGCGACTTCACAAAGAGCTCGTTGATGATGTCCTTATGAAGACTCAGGTTGCCACGGCAACTGCACAAAAGCAGAGAGAAAAAATCTTACCTTTGCAGATGTTGGTTTTAATAATGTAAATGAAAATTAAGACATATTTTAGCTAAATTTATTAAGTTTGAAATGATTAATTTGTATCCAAATATTGTGGCGCTTTTACGATGCAACTTTTTCCGTTTTTTCAGGTGAAAATGCAATGAACTGGATTTTTTTCAGGATCTCTGAGCGGAAAGCAGTCTTTTCTTTCAGACTCCCAAACTCTTTAAAAAAATCAACAGGATTTACCTGATTAAAAGTGCAGCTAAAATGTTGAAAGCTTCGCTGTGCACTGAGGAAAAGTTTCCAGTCTGCAATGCTGACTTCAGTCCTTTGAACTAGATGGAGGAAAAAAGAATAACGATAAAGCGGAATCTGGTTTGGTTTGAATCTGGTATCTGCTTTCCCAAGATCTGGTGAGAGATCTTGGCAAAACCAAAGTTAATTCTTTCCAGTACACCTCCACGATTTAAAAAAAGGTTTGGCAATGGTTGTTCCAGTTTAACCTGGAGCACTAAATCTTTTTTTTGAACACAGAATTTCTGCTTCCAGAAAATAGGTTGACAAAAACATAAAACAAATCTCAAGAAAATGAAAACTGAAGAGAACGAAGAATGAAGACGTTAACGGGAAACTCTAGATAATCGTACTCACCAGCATGCTTGGGACAAGAATCCTCACACACAATGACAGAATGCTCTTCACTGGAATTTTCACCATTTCGGGAAATTCAGCCCTGTGCAAGAAAGCAATTAACATTCCTGATCATTAATAGTTGCAGACATTTTGAAAATTGGAAGCCATGGGAGTGTTGCCAGCATAGCTCAAATACAAAATACAAACCTCGGCATGACGAATCTCATCATCAAAACTGACAAATTTCTCAGCACGGAAGATAAAACATTGAATGCTTGACATATGAAACAAACTCCACCATTACGGATATGAACCTTGGTGGAAAGAGAGTGATCCAATCATTTACACTAGTTTCCTGGCCGTCAATAATACCAACCTCATCCCTAATGATAGGAACCTCAAGAGTGATGATACCAACCTTAGCATGTGCTGCAGACAAGCACTCATCACTTTGAATTGTCTGACCAAGGTGTACATCCTCGTTGGCTCCTTGAGCGGCGCATCGGGCATCGTGAAAGGTGGGTGTGAAGAGTCGGACTGTTTCTCTGCATTGAAAGAACGCCACAGGAAAAGAGAGACTGACTAAGTTAGGAAAGAGCTCAGGAACCTCTGGAGTACGGATATGGGGAACAAGTTGCACGTGTCCTTAGGCAAGACAGTTTACTCCAATCATCCTCACCCACATGTGAGGGCTGATCTGGACCTGCTCCGTTCACAGTCAGATCACTTTGAGGCATTTGTACTAAGTGAAATATAAGCAGCATATAATAATTATTATCCCATTTAATGTCTTTGTTCATGACAGCCATTGAAGGCAATGCAGATAGGCATCAGATCACATCAAAACTCATTAAGATTACAGGTTTTTTTCCTCATTTTTTTTAAGTCTAATCTGATTTACCTGGCTGTGAGTCATGGTAGATCTTATCCGTTAGGTCCTTGATGGTAGCCAGCACTCTGTGGCAGTAATAGGACCAGGCCTCGGCATGTTTGGTGCCTCCCTGCCCCCCGCCGCCAACCCTGGGAAGGAGGGCCAGGCATTGGCTGGCAGACTGGAGGACGAGACGGAAGGAGAATGAGAATCATGAGAATGGGGCAGAAACGAGACTGAGTGGAGAGGGTAAAACGGTGGACACGGGAGGAAGGCAGGAACGTGCAGCCCAGTGGTTAGGGTTTGTGACTGCTGATTGTTTGGACAGAGGTTCAAATCCAGCAGCTGATGATATTGTGACCTTGGCTAAAGTCGCTTCAACACTACTTGCCTCTCTCCTCCAAGATGTATAAGTGGGTACCTGTGAGGGCTGAGGCTGAATGTATCTCCTAAATGATCCAGCCTTATGAACAGAGTGCCAATTGTACAGCATTTCGGATCATGGGTACGATGGAAAGCAATGAGCTGTAACGGTCAAGGGCAGGTGGACAGAAGCTGCACGCAGGTGGACAGAAGCTGCACGCAGGTGGACAGAAGCTGCACGCAGGTGGGAAGAGAAATGATATAATCCAAATGTCTCACGTATCAGATTTACCACTGCAATGTCGACACTGCCGCTGCTGCCCATGACTTGGATGAGAAAGTTTTCGGTTCGGGTTCGAAACGTCCCGCAGGGCCCCGGGAAGGACTGAATGCAGGCAGCAAGAATCTGAATGGCCGAATCCTGCCACTGGAAAGCAGTGAATCAGGGAAAAAGGAGTCAAAGGTTTGAAACATCCAAGACGGTGTGGTACAAATACAAACGAAAAAAGTCAGCTCGATTCAATGTCACTTATTCACTTCACATGCAACACCATGGAGAAACAGAAACAGATGGCATATTAGGGAAAATTTGAGCATGGATGTGGTCACGTGAATACCCGCGTCTTGCACTAAAAGTACGTGGGATTGCCTTCCTCGGGTCATCAGTTTCTGAAGAGCATATTGAGAGGTTTGACCCTGGTTTCATGCAGCTCCATTTTCTGTCATCAAAACATCAGGTTGTCCTGCGCGAGGCCAAAGTTTGCAGTATTTTCAGTCGGCTGCAACAGTAAGCATTCGAAACTGATTCTAGATCACAAAACAAAATTAAAAGCCCGGGGTGGAGCCCGGATTGGAAATAAGGCAAAAGCGCAATGCCGACTAATAAACTATTGACAGGGTATTCTTTAAACCATGCTTGTGGGTGTCCACTGTGCTAAGATGGGGCATGATTGGTCAATCCCTGTCAGAATAACCGTCCACAAATGTAAATTAGAAGGAAAAAAAGACTGGCTGATGGCAGAAGGATTGACAAATTACGCTGCAAGATTTCATGACAGTGCAGCGATCAAGCGATTATGCCCAAGACTAATACCTCCGTCTTCAGCTCCAGTGCTGCCGTGATGATGGGCGTGATGAAAGTGTTGGAAATCTCCCTCGACAGCTCCGATACCTGTGCCGCTTCCTTGAGGATGTTTCTCAGAGCAACGGATGCCAGGGCAATGACAGGAGGAGGGTCGTAAGACTAGAGGATGACGGGGAATACGGTATAAAAAATGAGCCAAAACACCCAAATCTGGCCGAGTTTAGACTCTTCAGGATTCTGCTGGATACTGGATAGCGTAGTACAGCCCACATTGCTCTGCTCAGGCTTGAACGTTATCGTTCTGGGTAAGCTTGCGCAGTGTACGACTGGACCACTGCACAGAGTTGCACATGGCTCTTTTTTAGGTGAGTCGCCTTTGTGCTAAGCTAGCGTCCAAAGCACTTACCGGCCTGCCCACCCCCAAGCTGCCCCTCCCTACAATAAGCTCTAAAAAAATTCACCTGTAGAATTTGCGTCAACAGTCTGACCCACGATGCACAATACTGTTGGAAGACTTCAGCTGGACACTGATTGACAAGCGCCCTCAAAACGATCAAGCCCTCCAACCTGCTCTCGAACAAGAATTAAAAAACGGCTTGGTAAGAGTCCCATACATGGAAATCATTTGACCCCGGAGTACAAACCCATGAGACTGGTCTGAAAAATACTAAATATGTTCCAAGTAAAGGATTCAATATTTGCCCTACCTTACGTCCGTGACGGTATAGTTGCCAGGTCCCTACTTTTGCCACCTGTTGTCAAGTCTGATTGGTTTTCACAGTAGGTGGCAAAATAAGAGACCTGGCGACTATCCACCCCGAGCTGAAGTGCACCCCGGATCGGCGGAAGAGAGAAAGGTGGTTACAAGCGGGTTCTTGCACGCATTCTGCGTGTACACAATGACCATACAAGCCAAAATGCTCTGCATCAAATGCGCATTTACTTGCGCATCTCATGGTGCGCCTATGCGGTACAAAAAAAAACGCTCAGAGCGGATACCATCACGGATGTTACATTTGCCATTTCAGGGTACATTCTCACTTTTTGATGGCTTATTTACCACTGCAGGGAAAAAGCAGCGATGTCCCTGCGATCATGTGAACAGAAATAAAGACGAAATAACGCTTTACCTTGTTTTTGATGAGTTCAGACAGCCATTGATGTGGCCAATCCAACTTGCACAATTTCGCTGTCAAGATAGAATTCCAAAATCAAACAAAATTATGCACAATTGCTGAATACCCCGCCACTCAACCGTTCCACAACAACTCTTCACTGCTCGGAAAAGGCTGCTGCATAATATAAGATCACTGACATGATTGACTAACAAAATAATTCATTACTCAATAGACGTCTCGTTTCCATCACAAAAGCTCACTGGCATTCCAGTGTACGACCTTGAACTGAATAAGCAAAAGTAAGTTAAAACAAAGGTGACCTAACAGTTCTGGAAGTAATACCAAAACATGCATACTGACCTGTCCATTTTTTTGAAAGGGTTCCATATAATGCAGCCTAGTTACAACACTAAGCTTCCCTTAAAATGTTATTATATGGCCATCAGAAAGTTATAACGTCCTACACAGTTAAATTTAGCTAAGAAAATTCCAAAGCATTTACTTAGAAAACACTTAGTACATTATACACACTACATGTATGACCATAACAATAGCAGTGTAGTGCTAGTAGGCCTACAGGGCTCTGGGGCCTCAACTTGTCCGACTGTCCGTGGTATATCATGGAATAGGAAAGTTTGCCGTTTGCATTGAACTGACTGGATGCTTACTTCTTGACTAAAAATCTGCAGTTCCGTTGAGTCTTCAATAAATGATGAGAGCAAATTGATGGAAGTATCAGGAGATGACGTGTTGCTTTTTTGTCTTAAAACCTCCAGCATCATGGAACACATGGCCTCCGTGGGTTGCGCCATCTTGAATCTCGAGTCTGTAAATTATGAATAGCGCCACCACATGTTTGATGTGTACGTGCTCGATTGTGCGAGCGGCTCGCTGTAGCGGTACTATTTTGAGTTGTGGGCGTTGTCAAGGAATGCACTGCAATTACTGCGGTGGGAGGGGCAGTGCATATCTTAGGTAAAATAAAAACTTGTGGTGTATCCCGTCATCAGTAATCACTTTACCTCAAAATAGATCCTTTTTGTTCTTCGTCGTAGTAAAGATTTCTTTAACTTGCTTTCTCCATGACCTCTGTAAGATGATTTCGCCCATAGAGCAAAATTAGATATAGCAAATCGGACGAGGATATGAAAATACTTCTGATTTTCTTCTGTATCTTGATGAAATCATATCAAAAGTTGTGGGATTTGTTTTTAATATTTGTTAAATGAATTTTTCATCCATGAAGGAAATCCCAAAAGTTTACGATGAAAGAGGGATGGCAAGATCTACCAACGCGATTGTGGAGGTTGAAGATAGCACAGCGCCACGAGGCGGCGCATTATCCATTGGCATGATAAGAGCTTCGATAAGAGGACCTAGGGCAATGATGGAACATAGCCACATTAAATTTAGAGAATTTACAGGCTTGAAAAGAGCTCAAAATGTTGCAACGAAGTTTTGTTACTTAGGTACTAGGTATGTAGATACGTAGCCGAGCAGTATCTGATTCCCGCCCCTCTTTGACCCATCCCGTAGCGTAAAAAACTCGCACAAACAAATGGGGGATCGAGCCAGACTAACTTCCACAGATTAATGTTTTATGTATTTTGTTGAAGACTGTGTGGGACGGGCTGTGTTGTGAAAAATTTGTGGTTGAATCTGGGCGCCATATCTCCCAGTTTAACTCGGAATTCACGGAGCGGAAGCAGTATTCCGGCCGTGGAATTTACCTTCCCGTCACGTTTACTTTTTTTGACGAGGCTGAGAGGTGTTCTGGTCTCTCAGTCGCAAATATTTCGGTCGAGGTTGGTCAGTTGGTTGCTGTTCGTTTGGTGTCACCATCCTCTGTGTAGAGACTCACTGCCTTCGTTTCTTTAACACGACACAGATTTCCGTTCAGTTTACATCTTTAAAAACCCAGCTCGCCATTTTCTTGGGGTACTGACAGGCAAACAGGAGAGAAATGACGACTATTGTAGAGCAGTTGCTGGCGTCTGCGGACGACCATCACCATGAGTCCGTTTCGCAGCGTCCGGAATGTCCCATGGCTGCGACCAACACGACCCCGAAAACCCCGCCGGCCACCTCGGGTAACCAAACCACCAACGGCCCCGCCGCAGGTGGAGACTGCGCGGACAACAAGAAGCAGGGCACGAGGTGAAGTACAATCAAATCAGTTTTTTCTATTATTGATGTTTTCTGGAGAGGACACTGATTGGAAATTATGCTAAATTGAATCTGTACATTATTCATGTTGCTTGCTCATTGTAAAATAATTTGTACGCATGCAAACGTCACAGCAAGCCTAACCCTAACAAACTGTCCCCAATTGCAACTCTGTTAAAGTTACCGACAAGTTTTGATAAAGTGGGGGTGTTTGGGACTGATTCTGCCAAGACCTGGTCTCTAGGACACGATGCTGCTGTTGACAGTTTTCAAGGATAAAAGTACATATATGTACATGTACAGATATAATTTGTCAGTCATTGTCAGGTAGCCTAGATTACCTGGTAATTTCACCATTATTCACTCTCAAGTTACTTTGCATCAGGTCTAATCTCATGGAACTGTTTAAAAAGGAGTCAGTAAAGTTTAAATTTACATGTACACGCGTTCTTAGCCTTTGGTGGCAGAAACAGGCCATGAAGCCCATCAGTGCGACTGTTCTCAACACCACAATGACACAGGCTGCAAAGTGCAATGGTCCGGATTGTATACATCTCGCCACTGCTAATAAATTGTTTTACCATCTGCATGTCTAATTGCATGTACATGCATTAATTTGGGATGCCATCTGTTGGGTCCAGAACGGCATCGGGCAGGGAAGACTTTTTTTGGGGGGGATATTGTAAACATAAATTATGCACATGCATACACGTGCGTGTACTGTTTTACCGTGACATCATTGGCTGGCATAAGCATGTACATGTATTTTACCATTTACCCGAAGCTGCCTTGAAGCCAAAACCTAGGGAAGAATGCCATTCATGTATGCAGCGAGATATCATCAGTCATCAGTAAGCAACAGTGTGTCCTAAACCACCGTCAAAAGCCAAATTGAGCTGGGAAAAATTTGGAGCCATTTACTTAGAAAACACAATCACTGTGTATTTGCGGACCAGTGTCATAGAGTTTGCGCACAAGCTGTCAAGTGATGCTCAGATGGGACTCCTGCCTACATGTATTGAAAAGTCTGATGTTTTCCATAGATATTATCGAAGGTCCTGTGGTTGATGGGAAAAAACCAGGATGGTATCAGGTGTTAGAGGCATCAGAACAGTACCGGTAGCTTATTTTTCTGTAGCACTATATGACAAAGATAGTAGTACACGGTAGCATTAATTTCTACATAAGACAGAAAGACGACAGCAAGGTCTAGATGATATTTAAAAAACTGCTGGTACATGATGCATTTTTTTATGTATGTGTTGCATAAATCCACATGATATCATGTTTCAGAAAGGAATTAATTGGAAGTCAAATCTGAACATGTGAAAATCCAGTTGACCCAAAAATTCTAGTTTGAATCAGGGGCCAATTTCATAGAGCTGCTCAAGCACAAAATCTGCTTAAGCACAAAAAAATCTTGCTTAAAAAATAAAGGTTACCTGCTTGAAATCTACGTGATTGTCAGGCTAACCAAAAGACAGGTGAGTACCATTCCAAACCAATATACATCACATGGAATTTTGGCTGGTAACCTGATTTGTCAAGCAACGTTTTTTCATGCTTAAGCAAATTCAGTGCTTAAGCAGCTCTATGAAATTGACTCCTGGTTTTAATTAAAAGTGAACGTAATACAGAAAATACCGTACATCCATTCTCAAATACTGAAAGAGCGTCTTATAAAAGCATTTAAAAAACCTCACGGATTATGAATTCCTTAGATTGCTGCTGACGTGATCTGTAACGCTCGGGGCCACGCTTACTGGTATAAATGGAGGTGTGAAAAATAGAAGCTGATGTATCCATCTGGTTACCATGGACACCGGCTAGGTGGGAGATCATTAGGAGGGCTGTTGTACTTGGCAGTAATCTGATGGGATGCAGTTTGTTTTATCAGCCCTGAAATGATGTGCATTTCAGGGAAGTCCATGCTATAAAAGATCGGTCTCACGCAACACTGGTCATACTGATGCATATTTATAATTTATGAACTGGAAAAGGAGGCCTGTCGTCACGGTACAAGTTTGATCAGTCACTTAGAAAATAGGATTACACACAGGCCAAATACCGCCCTATCAATTATTTGGCCTGCAGTTGTATGTTGATATTCACTTTGAAATGTGTATGATGAACACCTAATGTTGAAGTATTATGTACATGTATTTGGTTGACTTTTTTCCAGTGTGGAATCAGTGTATGCATTTACGATCGTGCGCTTAGTTATAGAGTGGAAGAGTTAACAATACCCTAAAATAAAAAGCAAATCCCAGAATGAAATAAAAAGCAAATCCCAGAATGAAATAAAAAGCAAATCCCAGAATGAAGTTAAAGTGCTGAATGCTGTGTGTGCAGACGTTTAGGCAAATCTTACTTTGCCCACAGTCACCGTGTTGCGAAACGACATCCGTGTGTCCATGCCTGTGACCATGCAGCTTGCTGCCCAGGGCTCATCATTGGGTCACAATTCTTAAATCTTTTGTAAATAGAGATACTTCCTCATCTACAGTGATCATGTACATGTAACTACATGTACCAGATTTTTCCCCCTTTTCTAAAGGGGAGAGGGAGGGGACACGCAGGAGGAGGGGGTACAGGCTTTGAGGGGAGGACCCAACCCATGCCCTGTCCCCCTTAATTACGCCACCTTTGCATTTACAAGTATAGATTTATCAGTGAAGTGCATGTAGCGCACAGCCTTCACATTGTGGATTGTGAATTAACTAAGGCTACAGAAAAACGGTACCAGTACTGCAGGCCGGCCGCCTTACTGAATCATGTACATGTATCTGGAGCTTGGCTTACCTTTGTATGCAGACCTTGTAGACAGTAGACATAGCCATAGCCCCAGAAACTGGTTTTGGACACAGCCTAATAATTTAATTTACACGCCAAGGTTCCTGGCTGTACGGGTCGTAACTGCGTGCAGTTTCAAAACTGTGACAGAATTGGGTTTTAGTGAGATCTACTTTCAGAATGAAGTTGTGATGTTAGAAGGCCCCTGGCTGGCAGTGACCAAATACATGATTTACGTGTACATTACAGATGTTACATGTAAGTATGATCATTAAAAAAAAACAAAACCAAAAACAAAACAGAAAGGTTAGTATGCTCATAGCATACGGTACAGGTCAACATTTCTGATTTCAATGTCAAACTATTTGCCCAGAGCTGGTTCATATCCCAACAGTGCCTGGGATTGATCAGCAGACTTTCCTCATCCAATGATGTGCACCTGATGTGGGCCTGCGCCTCGTCTGTTATCGAAGCATGGTCAGCGTAATCAAATATGCCATGCATTAACATGTTAATGTGAGGGCTGTTTTGTGTTGGGCACACAGCAGGCTACGCGCAGGCCCCCCCTATGTATTAATAAATTGAGAGTCCAGGCAGGTGCAATACAATGTGTCTTCCTGTCAGATTTGAAATGGCTCATATGTACCTGTTGTTCGTACAGTGATTTGTTAGTGATAGTTGTTTTTGGAAGAACAGCAGGTACAAGAAGGCAGATAGGGAAAGCAAAGGTTTGAAGTACGTATGTACGGCACGATTACGCACAGTACCGTACATTATGCATTCTTGTTTTATACTGTAGATGTGCGAGAGCTACAGTAGGCATACTTGTGTAGGATTGCTAGGGGGACTTGTGCATATGTAATAAACGATTTAAAAATAT